GTACACCAGTAGATTCTAATGAAACAGTTCATACCAATAAGTTTTAGTACAAATGTACACCAGTAGATTCTAATGAAACAGTTCATACCAATAAGTTTTAGTACAAATGTACACCAGTAGATTCTAATTAAACAGTACATACCAATAGGTTTTAGTACAAATGTACACCAGTAGATTCTAATTAAACAGTACATACCAATAAATTTTAGTACAAATGTACATCAGTATATTCTAATTAAACAGTACATACCAATAGGTTTTAGTACAAATGTACACCAGTAGATTCTAATTAAACAGTACATACCAATAGGTTTTAGTACAAATGTACACCAGTAGATTCTAATTAAACAGTTCATACCAATAGGTTTTAGTACAAATGTACACCAGTAGATTCTAATTAAACAGTATATACCAATAAATTTTAGTACATATGTACCCCAGTAAAAAGCTTTGTAATTTGTTGCAAGATCTACCACAGTATCTTTGGAAATTCTGGACACATTAGAAATATCAGGACTTACCCACAGCATAAATGGAATGCGTTTTATAGACTGTATTCTTGGGAGAGGGTCGTTTCTTTCCCCCGCCATCTTGAGAATCTCTGGGTCATCAACCAAACGTCCAAACATGGAGATAATGTACGCTTTGGAGAAGTTAGAGAGTGTACCGTCTTTTTTAACATCACGAAACATGAACTGCAAGATGGATTCAGGAAACGTCGTAACAAGTTTTAGTTATATAATTGGAAATTTAAAAAAATTATTTTCTGAAAAAAATTTAAAACGATTTATACACATTTAAAAATTGTTTTGCTTCTAATTGCACAGAATCGTTTAAAATAAACATTCTCAAATGATAATTTGTTATTAATGTTCGTTCCGCAAAATATTTGCATATAGTTTTATTTCCTCAAGATTTTGTTTCCTTCTTTTACTCATTCAAAAACTGAAATAATTACTTCAATGGGGGAATAATATTTAACTGCTTTACGCATTTCTACATTGAAAAGTTAATATTATGAAAATATACACCTGAGGTATAGAGTGGTGTTTATAAGAAATATTAGATCTAGTTTCACCACTTCACATGCTTTCGACTTTTAACAACGTAACATTAATATATTTTTGTTTTATTCGAAGATATCACACACAAGAACCATATTAGATGATACAATTGAGGCAACCTTGTAATCTACTGTTAATTTTATTATTTGTATTAATATTATCATTATTATAAATTGCAACTCACCTTCATACACTGCAAGCAAACACACAAGACAAGGTACAAGAAATAATCTGATCAGCCTTGACTCACAATTGTAAAATAAATAAACTGAAGTTGTAAAAATTACCAATAGAGGGTCACTGCTCTGTTCAGAGCTAAAGTAGACTTAAAACTAGCATTAGTGGGACACTGCTCTGTAAAAAAAACTAAGCTGGACTTACATCAAACATGTTGAATATCAGATGATTATAAGAGTTTACAAAACCACGTGTGGCGTAAACGGACTTGGGTATTCTCTTTCCTTCTCGTTTATTCCAAATGATCTACAACATAAAAATAGTTCTAAGTTAGAGACTTTTTTTTGTGGTTAAAAGTATATTATCACTTTCTTACGTTAATAAATAATATTTCAAACCTATCACTCAAACTACATTTTTGTGGAGAATACCACAACGATATCGTACAGTGCCAATTTTGTGTGTCACTTGTAGATTTATCTTTTCTTATCAGCCAGGTGAAGATATACACATATACTTATTATATCACTACCTTTAGTATTCTTATCTATTAAATCTTGCCAGGTAAGATATTCAGGAATTATTTAAATAATTAAAAAATAATTGTTGTTATTGCCTTCACAAACATCAAGAAATCCCCCCCACACACACAAACTTACCTTGGGTTCTTATTCTTAAAATAAACACAACTTGGAACTTATCAAAGATTACAAAGTTGATAATCAATGTAGTAAACCGCAATATCTGGATTATACCTGCAGGGCTCATGTGATGTCATTTCGGATTCAAACTGATGTTAAATATATAAATTTGTGTAAGCCTCTAAGTTACGTCACACCTCCCACCCAATAGCTGCATACAAGACAAACAAGAGATATTTGACAAATTTTCCAGACTGGAATGGCAAGACCAAGGAGGACAGATCTTGTATGTGAAAGGTAGACTGATCACCAGTGATTTAATAGTTTTATTCCGGCTGTTGCTAGCCTTGGTTCAGAAAACGTTAGTTTTTGACATGCAATTCCCAAGAGGAACAGATTTTGACGTTGGGAGTTTTCTAAATGCCCAGCTCCAAATGGGCAACCCTGCTTGTGTAGGTCTGACGGGAGCTTGCCCCTCCAAACTTTTTAAAAATCTACCAGCGATTTTCCGCTGTTTCCTACATTGAGGGGGAACTTGCTGCCCTCCAAACTTTTTAAAAACCTACCAGCAATTTTCCACTGTTTCTTACATTGAAGGGAAATTGCCCCTCCAAACTTTTTTAAAACTTACCAGCAATTTTCCACTTTTTACTACATTGAGGGGAGCTTGCCCCCCTCCAAACTTTCTAAAAACCTACCAGCGACTTTCCACTGTTTCCTACATTGAGGGGAACTTGCTCCTCCAAACATTTTAAAAACCTACCAGCGATTTTCCACTGTTTCCTACATTGAGGGGAGCTTGCCCCTCCAAACTTTTTTAAAACTTACCAGCAATTTTCTGCTGTTTCTTACATTGAGGGGAGCTTGCCGCCCTCCAAACCTTTTTAAAACCTACCAGCAATATTCCGCTGATTCCTGCATTCTGACACGATAAGTGCAGCAGCATAGCGAAACAGTGTTTAGATGGATCACTGTTAACCGTCCGAATTTATAACGCCAAGTATTTCCATGTGATAATGACGACAGCTAAAACGTGTGTTGCAGCTTGACTAACTGCACACATTATTTTGACTATCACGAATTAACTCTCAACCATATATTAAATTATATATAGAGAAAGTTCTAATATTCTCAGTGGGTGTACTTCAGGCTCTTAATGCTACTTTAACGTCACCCCTAGCTTTAAAACAAAAATGTTATTCAATATCTGCCCGCTTCCCCAATCGAATTCTACACTTATGAAGACTTGTTTCTAGACTTTACACTAAACGTGTACCAGCTGCAATACCTTAATTTTTGCTGTTAACTTCGTTGAGAAAATAAAAATGCTATCATTTGAAGAAGATGACAACTAGGCCATTATCAGCTTACTTGAACCTAATGGTCTGTCGTCAGAAAAGTAGCATGCCTGTGTTGTAACCACGAACTTTTATAGGTACTATTTCCCTGCTGAAGCTATATAAGATTAACTAGTGTTTAAAAGTTACTTATCACAGGCCTTATAAAGCAAAACATTGTGTTGTGTTGTTTAATTTTTGTTATGCACAAAGTTACACAAAAAAGTATCTATACTATGCACACCACGGGTATCAAACCCCGAATTTCAGCGTTATAATCCTCCACACTTACCGCTAAGCCACCGGGGCCATGAAGCAAAATAACCTATAGAAACAACATAAAAACAGCCTAATATAAAACCAAAGAAAGTAACAATGCCGAGCCAAATATAGCGAAAACATAAATAAAATACTAATATATAAAAGTAAATGACACTTAAAGAATGGTAAATAAATCAATCAGCCAGATATAAGTTTTGAGTTGTTTTTTAAAACTAGCGCGTGATATAGCTTAATATCGTAATAAACGTATCATACCTAATTCACATTTGTGAGAAACAAATAAGTTTAACACCTCTATTTGTGTTTATTAAAGAAATAATCTTACTCTGAAAACAACTTGGAAAATTGGAGAAATGAAGGTAGCTCCAAGAAAACTCTGTGCTCCTGGAAAAACTTCCCTAGATACACGAACGAAAAAATACTGATTTAGATTCAGGCTGTAACTAACTGAACAAGAACAGAACATATACCCTACCAGGTGGTGTTCAATAAAACATAGATACACGAAAAAAAATACTGATTTAGATTCAGGCTGTAACTAACTGAACAAGAACAGAACATATACCCTACCAGGTGGTGTTCAATAAAACCTAGATACTCGAAAAAAAAACACTGATATAGATTAAGGCTGTAACTAACTGAACAGGAACGGAAAATATACCCTACCAGGTGGTGTTCAATAAAACCTAGATACACGAAAAAAAAAAATACTGATTTAGGTCCAGGCTGTAACTAACTGAACAAGAACGGAAAATATATCCTACCAGGTGGTGTTCAATAAAACCTAGATACACGAAAAAAAAATACTGATTTAGGTTCAGGCTGTAACTAACTGAACAAGAACAGAAAATATACCTTACCAGGTGGTGTTCAATAAAACCTAGATACTCGAAAAAAAAACACTGATATAGATTCAGGCTGTAACTAACTGAACAGGAACGGAAAATATACCCTACCAAGTGATGTTCAATGTTTTTAACTTGCTTTTGCTCTTCAGTTATACAAACTCAAAAATATTAAAACACCGTTGCACCCTTTTATCGTGCTGTAGGTGGAAAAAAAGTTAGACATATTGTAAGTATTTATGTTTTTATAAATTACAACCGTCTCTAAGATAAAATAGCACTATACCTTATTCAAAAAGTTGTATACCACCAGAATGGCATATTTATTATTAACAGTTCACGGTGTTAATTGAATTTAACCATCAAATAAATAATTAATATAATTTTAAAGTTTCACAGAACCATATTATACCAAACAACAAAACATTGAAAAATGTCTCGTGACCATATAATTAGACTAAGCATTTGAACTCTTCCGAATATGTGGAACTAAGACAGGTATAAAACCATAAATTGGGTCCCAGTTACCCAGATAAATGCAGTGACATCTACACAAATTCCTCTCAGTGTCAAGTTCCATATTGTTACGACAGCGGGGGTCACGTGACGCTAGTAACACGTCATATTCTCAAAGGTTCGTCAGTCCTCGAGTGTTTACTAGATTTGCGGTATTCTTGTATATATAAGCCGCCAAGAAGTGACGGCAATAATGTAATGTAATTGAACTGCAGACAGAGATAGAGACGGACAGTTGAGTCGAGCACGTGAGTCGTTCGTTGTGAATTATAGCGTTTGTTATAGAGTGACTGTGGAAATTAAGTGTATTGCAAAGTTGTATTCAGAAAGAATAAACCAGTTTTATTTAAGAAAGGACTTGTATCGCTAAAGTTTCTTCGGAAAGAATTTTTACGGAAAACTAACTAACGACAATATATTCAGGTGAAATCTTTGAAAAATAACTATATCCAGTTGAACAGAAATTCTTTCAACACGGGCATTGATATTAAGCCTGATGACATTAAGCCTGATAAGACTTTTATTGATATTGTATTGGAGGTGGGCATCTACTCAGAAGTCGATTTTTTTTTATCTGTGAATTTGCGTACAAACCTTAGTTATTATTTAGCCAAAAACTAACTTATCTAAATAAATACAATACAAATATGTTAAAAAGAAAAACGCTACGAATCAAAGAATCCAATAGTGTCAGAATTAATTTTCAATGCAATTTTAAAATCCCTTAAAAAAGTTACGAATTACAACAACATACCCCACATTTGCCTTCGTCAAATATTCTTTTTCACTGCGCAGGCTCCCGTCTAGCTCGTGCATGATCTCGAAGTCGGTTTCAGCATGTAATGACGTAATAGGTCTAGCCTGTAATCAAAGAAAGAAAATAAACCCTTAGCTCATCAGAACCCACTTTACTGTGATTCCCTTAAGAGGTTAACATAAAACCAGGGATCCGGGTGGAAATCTGAGTGCTCTAGCCAACTGTCTACTTATTTATTTGTTGTGAGAAGACACAATCGTAAAGTTTGAAAAATAAACATATTTCCCCCAGTAGGTCTAGCAGATTAATGGAAGAAATTAGAAGCTAAAAGCTTCTCACAGGAACTATTTATATATGTGGTAAAAATCTTTAATTACCTGAAGAAGATAAATATCTCGTTGATATAATGCCCATTCAATGTCCCTGGCACTTCCAAAGGAAGACTCCACCTACAAAACACACAATGCGATATTTCTGTAATTTCCACCTGAGGTGTTTTTAACGTTTAACGACACAGAGTTGTTTACTTCAATGAACATGATAAAAAGTTATCAAAGCCTCATACGTATAAGAAAAAAAAAGGAATTAGGAAAATGTTTGGTAAGCAGAATAAAACTGGATTTTACATTTTTGTTTTGATTTGAATTTCGCGCAAAATATAATAGGCGTAACATTCATGTCTTATGACAAGTATAATTAATAAGAAGTTATATTGTTAAAAAGATAAATAAAAT